TCGTAAGCATCGAGTGCTTGGTGAAAGGATTCACAAGATAGCTCTCAGCGGCTTCGACAGCAAGAAGTTCATCTTGGAAGATGAAGACTGGCTTTTGGGTATAAAGACATTCCTGCACATTCATGATTAGCATCTATATTTAATAATGGCAGGCACGCGCACACACACACACTCTTCCGTCACTCTTATCACACACAGGTTGATGCGATTCCTTACGTTCTCCATGGTCTTACCGTAGACTGAGCTATTCATAAGCGGTGCATGTGTGTGTGTGTGTGTGTGTGTGTGTGTGTGTGTGTGTGTGTGTGTGTGTGTGTGTGCGTGTGCGTGCGTGTGTGTGTGTGTGTGTGTGTGTGTGTGTGTACCAGCTAGTCCAGTTGGTGGGTGCACGTATACCAGATAAGTGCTGGGTCTGTTGCCAACAGGCTCGAATGCTTGAAGGTGTGTTGTTGTATCTGCCACCTTTGTTGGTTGCAGGGTTCACATACTGTACTTTCTATTTGAAGTATACATACCTGTTGACCATGGACTGCTTCTGGCTAGATTAACTCTTGTGTAATCACTGGTGCTAGTGAAGCTTATATCAGATCCACTCTGATTTAGCCACCCACACTAGTACCAAGTATTACCCCGGGTTGGGGGCAGGGGTAACTGCAATTGGATCCCAGGACGGATACCCTGATATGCCGTCAATCCTTTTTTTCTGCACCTTGTCCTCACCCAGTTACTGAGGTGCGGTGAGCCCGCAAGTGGGATCATTTGCAAGTCCACCCATAGTAAGAAATGTTGTATGTCGAAAAGAATTATACGAGAGGAAAGCTAGACCAATTCTACACCTCATTGACCTTTCCATTACGGACATAGATGAAAAACTAATTGACTTATCCCAATCAAAAGATTCCGAATGCGAACAACAACAAAAAAGACACGGCATGCCGCTACTCAACTTTTCGGTTTTGGCGCCCACCGTTTTCACTGTGTTCTCAAAGGTCGTCACCTACATTCAGGATGACCTTTAACCTCATCAATCTATTGACATTATAACCGAATACATAGAGGATTAGTCACTCATTCAACTGTAGTCTCTTTATCAACCAGTATGAGTAGCTCCAGATGTAGCACACCAATCTGTTGGTTGACAACTGACACGCCGTTTATCCCGCCGGTTGATGAGGAGGACCTGCCCTCACACCAACCCCAGCAGCCATTAAACTGAAATGTATTCCTTTTATTCTGTGTGTCATCAGAGCGGCAGATTGAGATCAGGAAAATACAGTGCTTCACACTAAGGCACAAGTTGGAGGATATTCTTGACGATAGATTGGCTAGCCGTCAAGATATGACACAAAGCGCCATTGGGGAGTTTCTGATTCGAATCAGTAACGGCAAGTTTGGTGCTGGCCAATGTCCGATTCTCCTACCACAAGATGTTGATGTAACCGACTTCGGTGATCTCAGCAAAGCCGATGATTCCGTGCTATTGCATCTCATGCTGGAACCCAAGGAGAATTACGTCCGGGCCTCCCAGTATGTTGATGAGAGAATTACGACACGTATCCAGAACGTATTTCAAGAAACAGAATAAATCGACGTGCCTGAATTTATGAGAATCATCAACATGATCAACGTCAGCATCTGCATTCGTTTGTCGGATATAAAACTCGTGGAGTCGCCCCCGATGAAACTGAAGGCCGTGCCCACAAGCACCACGAAGGTCAACGTCAAGATGAACACCATCAATGTGGCCGCAGACGGCACCTGCACAGTGCGTGATCGCAGCTTTCGTGAAGAGTCGAAGACCAAACGCACGCGTCATGAGGCAGACTATGATGATTTGAACCCTGTTGTCACCATTGCAATGGAGAAGAGGAAGGTAGTGTGCATGAAACATTTTTAGGTCAGAGTAACTCTGCTTACTTATCTGGAACCATTAGGGGCATTGGTGTACATCAGAGCGTCCGATAATTCTACCTCGTACTGTGTGTCACGGAAGAGGTCATGGGTTGATCCATCCTCACACGTACATTGTATTCGAAGAGTAAACTTTGTAGTCTCTCATCTGATACCAGCTTGATGAAATCATGATGATGTCAACAAAAACTGAATTTTCACTGTTTTAACCCTTTGGCTCCCCCATAACTCCACTATTTAGCAATAGCCATAATTTTCGCTCAAATTGTGTCGACTTTCGGTCATAACTTACGTTCTAGTAGCCTGATTTCCACAATCTTGGGCTCTCCGGAAAGCTCTTCTCAGCGCAAACACAATGAGCCATCACCTTGCGAAATCAGAGTGGCAGGCCCAGCTCTACAGCCCAGCGAAGGTACCCCATCGCTGGGAATGCCCTCAATCCCTTTCTTTTTCAGCCATTTCAATTTTCTTGCTCGCCCAGCTCAGATTTTTTTGTACTGCCGCAGCAGGTAGCCAGCACCATGATTTACGCAAATCAGGTACTTGAGAACAAGGGAAATTCCCCGGTTCATACCCGAAAATGTGCTTGGAGCGAGAAAAGTGCCGTCCTCCAATTTTCGAGCGCGATATCTCAACAACCGTTGGAGCTATCGTGAAAACGATTGCACCAACGGAAAGCTGAGAACTTCAGCTACACCCCACATGCGATAGTGCAATATTTGAATGAGTTATGACTGTTTGAAGTCATCGACGGAATAACGTCGAAATTTGTATGGTGGGGAGCCAAAGGGTTAAGGGATCGACACTGAATTTTATAAAGTAAATACTACCTACGGCAACAAGAACTGAATTTTCACTGGTTTGAGGGATAGACACTGAATTTTATAAAGTAGAATACTACCTTCCTTCTCCTCTCCATTGCGATCTTCAGTGTTCGTTCCATTATGATTATTCTTTGTAATATGTATCGTATCTATCAATAATTGACCCTTGTGATGTGTGTGAGAATGCCCATTTTCGAAAAAATTGCATGGGGAGGTGGAACGGGAGGAGGGTTGGGGTGGGTCACGGAAAAAACACCAACATCTTCATTATCATGTTTATGATCCTAATATCCAGTATTCTATACATGGGCCGACTTATTAAAATGTGCGCTTCACTTCAAAACTCAAGCATAATTATGTACAAAGGAGCACCTGTACTAAAAAATAAACCAAGAGACGGTAGATAGATAACTACTGTGCCGTTTCTTGGTCTGACCTTCTAGTTTTCATTGCTGCTGGTGTCCCAGGGTGCATCTGCCAGTGCGTCCCCCTGCAAAACGTCCACATTTTTTTCATCTCCTCCAAGCTACGCTGCGCTTCCTTGATTTTTACACTCCATAGGCACGATTTGGACGATCGGCTTCGCCTCCTCCTCGTGCAGTACGACTGCCAGAATGGTGGCTGTAGGTGTTTTCGCCTGGTGCTCCCACAACACCTTCAATTCGAATGAGGCGACACCACCACGCATAAAAAATCACTTCTCATCACCGTGTGCCACGCGCGCGTACTGAATCAGATCTGTGTCAACATGTCTATACATGCGTGCTCTTCCCTGTTTAGTTACTTTTACGAATCCACTGGCCTCAGAGCTGGAGACGGGAGATCTTGTGACGGAGCTTTAGCATAAGCTTGATGTAGCGATGACGCATCGCGATCGCGGCTCCGAGAACTCCGCACCATTCACGCACCGTATCCGCAGAACAGTTCACCCTTTCTGCGCTTCAGTTTTCCAGCCAGGTTTTCGCCTGAAAGTCGACCTTAGGGGTGGCGCGTACTGAATCAGATCTGTGTCGACATGATAATTATGTCGACACATGTCTAACCATGCGTGCTCTTCCCTGTTTACTGTTTAGCATCTAATTACTTTTACGAATCCACTGGCCCCGGAGCCGGAGACGGGAGATCTTGTGACGGAGCTTTACTAGCATACGCTTGATGTAGCGATGACGCATCGCGATTGCGGCTCCGAGAACTCCGCACCATTCACGCACCGTATCCGCAGAACAATTCACCCTTTCTGCGCTTCAGTTTTCCAGCCAGGTTGTCGCCTGAAAGGCGACCTTAGGGGTGGTTATTTATTTCGATCAACTACTTCTCGGCGATCTATTCTGCAAACTTGATTCGTGAACCGCCACATCGTGAACGACTGCGAGAGAGATCAGTAAACTGGACGGCGCGATGCTGGTGCTTTCTGCACGAGTTTCTGGATGACGAGTTTACTGAAATTCTGCGAAGGAAACAGCGACTGCAGTGATTTCAATCCGCCAGGAGGCACTCGAGAACGATCGCCCAGGAGTTGCTGGTACTCCGTGACAATTCTCCATCACATTGGGGTGTTGATTTCATCATCAGGCCTTCTCTGTGTTGCGCAAGTCACATACTACTAGTCCCGGGGCCAGACCAAGCGCAGTGTGCCTTATTTAACCCAAAGGTCAAAGGTCAAACCCTGGGGGGAGTCCCGGGGCCAGACCAAGCACGACCGACACAGTGTGCCTTATTTGGCCCAAAGGTCAAAGGTCAAAAAATGCGCCAGAACCGGCTTTATACTTACTACTAGTGATGGAGAGTTACTCTCAACTAGTATCTATATTTCTTTCCTTTCTACATTAAATTTTATTATTGGCTCAACATCCGAGTTTCAAATTATTATGATTATTTTGCCAATATCCAAGTTAACCCAAAAAACTGCTCTTGGAAATTTTTCCACGTCAAAATAAATAATTTTTCATCCAGCGCATGTGGCGATTGTGAATAGCAGCTGAATAGAGCGGTGGTCAGTTGACAAACCTCCTTTTTTATGATGCAGTTGCGTGAGGTCCATCACTTTCTTTGGAAAGAGAAAGGGAAGAAAAGATTTTTGGTTGGAAGAAAACAAACTACCACCCGCGGCACACAAGCCACAAACAGCCTTGACGAGGTCTTTCGTATCATTACTATTCAAGTCAAACACATTGGTGATAAGAGCCGCAGCAAACCAGTGCTTATACCTAGCATCTTGGCGGTCAAAATATACGGGAGGAAGGGAAAAGGGCACAATAAACTTACCCAGTCGCAAGTTGAAGATATTGAAACTGCCGACAATGTTCAGTTCCAGAAGCCCTAGACCACTTAGTATGCCAGGAGTGTTGATGGCGATATAACTCAGCATGATTGCACCATACACGGGCAACAGTAGATACATCTCTGTGCTGTTGTAGCGTTCGATGATCGCCACGTCCACCTTTCCCGGATAGCCAGCCAGCCTGGACAGGCTGTCAATCAACTTATTTCGGATGACATGCTTGGAGTGCTCGCATAAATCCGCAATCACCACCACACGCACACTAGTCTGGACCATAGCTGCATAGGACATGGCAAGACAGTAACAGGAAACCGGGCGACAAGCTGATGAGTATTTATAGCAAAAAAAGTTCTGATTGCACAGATAGCAAGCAAAATTGCAGGAAAACTGAAGAACAAGGATTACCTCCCAATGAATCAAGATACTGTATAGCAGGAAATGTTCGGACGGAATTTATTTTCGTACGATTTCATACACGGCCTCTTTTGTACTAAAATTAATTCCGTACTAAAATTTGTTCATGTGAAGTTATGTACACTATACATGCGTGCCGCATGCGAACGCGTGTGCATTTAGCATGCAGCACTGTATGAAAATAAAATCCATACGAAAGGTCGAAAATTGGCTTTGTCCGAAAATATTTCCGTCCGGAAATTTTCTACTATACGAGTACAGTACATGTCTCATTTGTTGCTGGCTGGAATGAAGCAATGCAGAAAGGTATCACACCGCTGCATTACATTCTCCCACATAAATTCATTATTACACGTCCTACCTTCCTTCGCTGGTATTCCTCTTACAGTGCATAATGTTGGGTTAGCTTTTGGGCTAACCCTAGTTAGCGATAAGACCGATGCGCTGCTCTCTATCGCATGCTAGCTGCGACTGAGCTGGCTTTACACGTGCACTCAACTGCTGCGCATGCGCGCCCAAATCGCCTTGGGTAGCTCTTGCTGCGCTGACTTTGGCTTGCGCTTTCCCTTGCGGTGTCACTGAGCAGCAACCGGAATTTGTTTGAGGAGAATAGAATTAATTATTCAGACTCCTTGTAGCTTCCTCGCAGCCGTTTACTGCACGACAAACATGTTGTCTACCTCTGAAGCACGTCGTATGAACGTGTCGGACTTGCGGGCCGAGCTGGAAGGCCGTGGGCTGAATTCGAGCGGAACAAAGCCCCAGCTTCTTGCCCGCTTGCTGCTCAGTATCCAGGACACGTCGAGCTCGGCGGCACGGGAACCTCGATCCCCGTCGGCCACGCCATCCCTGCGGCAGGAGCACGAGCAGGAGCAAGAGCAGGATCTGGAGAGTGTTGCAGCAGCTTCTCCGACTCCCCAGATCCCGGACCGGAGCAGGAATGACGATTTGCGCCAGTTTGTGCGGCAGGAAGTACATTCCGCCGTCACCGTTGCCTTGTCGGAGGCGATCGCTCCAATGCTGGCCACCATCACTGCCCCTGGATCCGCTGGAACTCAGCCTTCGGCGGAGTCTTCCAACGCTGGTAATCTCTCCGTTCCCCAGACTATACGAGAGAAAATATTGAAGGGTGACTTTGTAGATTTCACCCAGCTGCTGCCCGATACTATCGCCACCTCGTATTCTGCCCCACGCCAGCTTCAGCTGCAGTTCAGCAGTGGCGGCCAGTCTCTGGAGGTGGTGGAAGGTGGAGCTGCCCAGCCCGTTCGTCGACGCGTCCACGACTTGCCGACATGGCTGGAGGCATGGACTCTCTTCATGAACGTCCTGTGTTCTGCTAACCCGTCCCGCCTGCAGGAGATGCTCTCATACCAAGCCACCATTGTTGCAGCCAACAGGCAATACTATCCGGAGGCTTGGCTGTCGTACGACACCCAGTTTCGCTCTGCCATTTCTGCTCAGCCAGGCAAGCGCTTTGACGTCATCGACATCAATCTGTGGCAAATGTCCGTGACTAGCCGATCAAGGCCCACATGTGAGTCCTGCCGCCTCGTCCATCCCGGAGGCGGCCAGTGTCCCTTTCGTCCGCAACGTAACAACCAGCAAGCCTTCAATGGAGTCCGTACGGTGTCTAATGGCCAACCCATCTGGCGGAACTTCAACGCTGGGCGTTGCAGTCTCAGCATGTGCAAGTACGCCCAAGTCTGCAACCGCTGCGGGTCCAAGGACCACAACGGGTCTAAGTGCGGTAGGCGCCAGTAACTCTGCTGCTTTGGCTGCAGCTCCCGCGATTGTACATATTTCTCCCTGCCCTTCACGTTCTACTGATTTCACAAGTGCATGTCCTGCTGTCCACACACCCCTCTCTGTTTCTCGCTTCGAATCACTGCTCCGTAACCACCCTGACAGTTCATTGGCTTCGTATGTTATTAACGGCCTCCGCTGCGGCTTTGACATTGGCTTTACCGGCAACCGCATAACTAACCAGCACTCGTCCAACCTCTCATCAGCATTCCAGCACTCTGCATTTGTGTCTTCACAGCTCACCGCTTCCTGCAACGCCGGCTACACGGCTGGCCCATTTGACTCGCCCCCATTCCCATTTATGTACTGCTCTGGCATTGGCGCCGTTCCGAAAAAGAATGGCAAGCTAAGCTTGATACACCACCTGTCCAGCCCTGCCGGCTCCAGCGTTAACGACGGAATCCCTGCCGAGCCTTTCTCTTTGCAGTACATCAGCATTGATGAAGCCATTAACATCATTATGTCCTCCCCGTCTCCTGCCTATCTCTCTAAACTCGACGTGAAGAGCGCTTTCCGTCAAATACCTGTCCGCCCACAGGATTGGCATCTCCTCGGCAACCTTTGGCAGGGGAAGTACTACTACGACCATGTCTTGCCATTTGGGCTCCGCTCTAGCCCGGCGGTTTTTGATGCCGTGGCAGCCACCATCGAATGGATAATGCACCACGAATTCTCCATCCCTAATTTGCTGCATTTCCTGGACGACTACTTGTGCGTGAGCGTGGGCCAGGCAGTGGGAAATCGGCAGCTGGCCATTCTTCTCCATGCATTCTCATACCTCGGAGTCCCGCTCGCGCCTGCGAAGGTGGAAGGCCCGTCTCGTACCCTGACATTCCTGGGCATTATCCTGGATTGTGAGAAGATGGAAGCCCGGCTCCCTGACGACAAATTGGCTGACACCAAGCGCCTGCTGACTGCAGCGAGCATCAACCCCACCATGTCTCAGCGCGAACTCGAATCTCTTCTGGGGAAACTCTCCTTCGCTGCAAGAGTCATCGTACCCGGCCGGACATTTATGCGGCGCCTGTGGTCTATTTGCAGTCGCTACCAGCAGCCTCACTACCGCATCAGTCTGACTACCGAGTGCCAGGAAGATATCCAATGGTGGCTACGGCTCCTGGAACAATGGAACGGAAAATCATTCTTCCTGTTCCCAGATTGGACACCATCTCCAGACTTGGAGCTGTTCACTGATGCCAGTGGCACCCTGGGCTGGGGCGCATTCAACAGCGGCCGCTGGCTTCAAGGGACCTGGTCGCCTGAGCAACTTGCTCACAGCATTGAGTGGAAGGAGCTCTACGCGTTGGTCACAGCGTGCTGCACGTGGGGCAAGGAATGGCGCCAGCTTCGTATCACAATGCACTGTGACAACAAGGCTGTGGTAGATTGCATCCGCTCCGGCACATCCAAGTCACCGCCAGTGATGACCCTGATCAGGGAGCTATTCTTTGTGTGGGCCCGCTTCAATTTCACCGTCACTGCTACTCACATTGCTGGCCAGTCTAACTGCATTGCCGATTCGCTGTCTCGTTTCCGCATGGAGGAATTCCGGCGTCTCGCCCCAGCTGCTCAAGCACAACCAGACCGAGCAGTGCTGCCATTCCAGTCGATGTCGATGCCTTGACATACAGGTACCGATTGCCATTGCTAAATTGCCGTATTGAGAACCTGCGTTGGATTTCATCCATCTCGTGCTTTAATCACTTGTTCTTAGCTCTCGTGCATTGGTGGTGAACGCTTGCTGGGGTGCCGTGTGCTGGTTTTCTGGGAACAGCTTCCTTCAACTGGTTGCTTTGCTGCTGCTATCTCTGCTTAAAATTGCATACTATTGGTCGGCTGTTTGCGACGCCAATCAGTAGTCATTGCACCCGGTCGCGGGTACTATTGCCGCTCAAGCATGAGCGATTGCTTTGGCCGTTTGCAACGCCAATTGCTTCACCCTGGTTGGCTGTTTGCAACGTCGATCAGGGAACTTTGCACCCAGTCGCGGGTACTGCTGCGGCTCAGTCGTGAGCGATCACTTTGGCTGTTTGCAACGCCAATCGCTTCACCAGTTGATCGAAACCAGCACACTGGTGTACCCCAATCATCCTCGTGCGGTGTTGTGAGAATACGTGGGTATGCATGCAGCTTTGCTCTGTGACTTTCCATTGCACGTAGTCACTTGGCTCTCCCATTTCCTAAACACTGCTCTGATGCATTCGGGTGCAAGCGCTAAATGTTGGGTTAGCTTTTGGGCTAACCCTAGTTAGCGATAAGACCGATGCGCTGCTCTCTATCGCATGCTAGCTGCGACTGAGCTGGCTTTACACGTGCACTCAACTGCTGCGCATGCGCGCCCAAATCGCCTTGGGTAGCTCTTCCTGCGCTGACTTTGGCTTGCGCTTTCCCTTGCAGTGTCACTGAGCAGCAACCGGAATTTGTTTGCCACCCACCCTCCCATTCCCACATTATATAGGTGGGAACAGCTTCCTTCAACTGGTTGCTTTGCTGCTACTATCTCTGCTTAAAATTGCATACTATTGGTCGGCTGTTTGCGACGCCAATCAGTAGTCATTGCACCCAGTCGCGGGTACTATTGCCGCTCAAGCATGAGCGATTGCTTTGGCCGTTTGCAACGCCAATTGCTTCACCATGGTTGGCTGCTTGCAACGTCGATCAGGGAACTTTGCACCCGGTCGCGGGTACTGCTGCGGCTCAGTCGTGAGCGATCACTTTGGCTGTTTGCAACGCCAATCGCTTCACCAGTTGATCGAAACCAGCACACTGGTGTACCCCAATCATCCTCGTGCGGTGTTGTGAGAATACGTAGGTATGCATGCAGCTTTGCTCTGCGACTTTCCATTGCACGTAGTCACTTGGCTCTCCCATTTCCTAAACACTGCTCTGATGCATTCGGGTGCAAGCGCTAACAAGAGGTTTGAAAATAGGTGTGAGATAAACATTAAATACTTAGGACGGTGGCAATAATTGAATGTGAACTCGTGATGTGTGTTCTGAATGGCGCATAAAATGTCCCATCTACACCTTTGCTGCTGACCTTGTCTGATAACATGAAGTCCAGCAATGTGAGCGGACAAGGTAGAAATGGAATGTTAGCTGCAGTCTGGCAAAAACTTTTTTTTGCATGAAGGTCACCTACAACGATCTGTTTTTCAATCCACACATCAAATAAAATTACACACACGTCAAAAATAAGAATTTGGAGGACAAATGGTAATTCCAGTGAGCTCTTGCCTCAGTCATGTGTGCACGCTCTCATTGTAAACTGTTGGCGAGCCCGCACTCTGCTGGGATGCATTGAAGCTCCCGACGACTGAGCGGCGCACTTTAGTTTTACAGTTTGTAACATTCTTGGCAGGAGACAGGCAGCTCTTGAACACAGCATCAAAATAATATTCCAGAGACGCACCACCAATACGGTGCCCATTGGCGAAGCAGGACGCGTCCACAGACTTGAGAAACTGTACTTAACGTAACGTTACACATCAGTCCACAATCCGAGGCCCGATTTGACTTCTTTCCACTCAGCCCATGTTCACTTGCCTTGACCATTCTGTGTATCTCAATTTTTAAAACACTCATTTCCAGACAGTGCATGGTGCAGGTCTGCCACTTGCATCCAATGCATTGGGCAGCAGCTAGTTGTTCTTGGTTTAGTCCCTGTATACGTTCTCCTGTGGTGCACGACGCCACTATTGTTTCTTCAGCTCCTGCCCTGTGTGCTTCAGAGCTCTGAAGTCAGTTCGGCGTATATATTCAGTACAACTCAGCATCCACAGGAAGAGCGCTATTGTTCCCCTTCATTCACGTTATCATCAACACTGCTGTCACCACGATCGCCTGCATCCGAAAGATCCATCTAATTTGTTCCCTATGTCTTTTTGTTCCGCACTCGAGCTTTACCAGCAGCAAACAAAAAAGCCGATTGGAACGTCGTTCTCGGCGTTGTGGAAGACGCTCTCGACTACTACCTGACTCTGAAACGCTCTCAAAATCAGAGAAGCTCGCAGCACCTGACAGCGGGCTATAAGCTGATCGCGGCCACCTCCAAATTCGCCCGTCGATATGCCACCCGTCGCACAACTAGCTGCCATATCTTCCTTCAGCCATAACCGATTCACTTCAAATTTTGAGTGCTGGACCTTGATTCCCTGTGCTGAACGACGTCGAGGCACAAACGCTAGATGCAAATAGAGCCCTCTAACCCAGGAAAAAATATATCACAGTTTGCCAAACTTAAAACGCGTGTATCTCAAAATGATGTCATGCAGCTAACATTCCATTTCTACCTTGTCCGCTCACAGGTCTGCTGTACTTTGGCAATAGGGTTGTAGTGTCTGCTTCAGAGCCAGGTCATCCGGGTCAGCAATCCGGTTGGGGGAGGGGGGGGGACTTGGACCGGCTTCGGAAAAGAACAGTGGGTCACTTGTTACCCGCCTGGGACTCAATCAGGAAGTCCTAAGACTCCCTGATGTACAATAGCCTCACTTGAATGTACCCGGGACTGACCCGGTTGCAAGAGTTGTGCCGGGTACACATGTACCCGGTTGAATTGAAATCCAAGCCCAGATACTGGGGCTGGGAGGTTACCTTTACGGCCATTAATGCACCTTTGCTTCATTCTGATGACTGCTCCAATTTTGCCAAAACATTGTAGGATAAGAACTGGTTCGGTCCATCAGAGTGTTTTGGGAATGGGCACGTTAGCCCGAATACTTTCTACAGAAGGTACTGCCGGAGGATGTACCCAGCGTGCTGACAGTGCTCAACACTGCGGAGGCAGAGCATAATACAATCGTTTGCCTGATGATTGCGAGAGCATGAAACTTACAGTAGCAGCAAACCAGCCTTGATTGTCCTTGTTGTTCTGTTCTGTACAGAACATACTGAAATTCCTATTGGCAACTCACCGACATCCTTTCGTTTGACGGTTACGAGAGGTTGCTCACTGAAGTTGTCAACAGTTTCCACATGCACATCGTTGCTCGTGAAGCCGGCCCGCTTGACACTGGTAAGAAGGATGTTGCGGATCATGCCGTCAAATGCATGCAGCTTCTTTGCCAGAGCCGCCGCAATGTACACAGTCACGGTGGCCTTTGCAAGCTCATCCTGCAATAGAACCACTGCCAAGACAGCGGCAAAGAAGAAGACGGCAATAAAAAGCAGAGAACACAGAAGAACATACCGAGACCATGACCATACACTCTTTTAGTAGACTCCTACTCCAACTACAGCAAAACCTGTGACTAACGACCACCCCCTTGGGGCCAGAGAAAGCCGAAAGTCTTAAGTGGCAGGTGGTCCTTAGCTAGAGGTTTGCACTCAGGCACAGCACAACCATACATATGAATGTGAGACCGTCCGTGCCTCGCAAAGTGGTCTGCAGTACCAGGCTGGTTGCTAGTCACGGTGGTCTTTAGTTACAGGTTTTACTGTAGTACCAGGCTGGTTGCTAGTTACGCTGGTCTTTAGTTACAGGTTTTACTGTAGTACCAGGCTGGTTGCTAGTCACGCTGGTCTTTAGTTACAGGTTTTACTGTAGTACCAGGCTGGTTGCTAGTCACGCTGGTCTTTAGTTACAGGTTTTACTGTAGTACCAGGCTGGTTGCTAGTCACGCTGGTCTTTAGTTACAGGTTTTACTGTAGTACCAGGCTGGTTGCTAGTCATGCTGGTCTTTAGTTTCAGGTTTTACTGTAGTACCAGGCTGGTTGCTAGTCACGCTGGTCTTTAGTTACAGGTTTTACTGTAGCACCAGGCTGGTTGCTAGTCACGCTGGTCTTTAGTTACAGGTTTTATTGTAGTACCAGGCTGGTTGCTAGTCACGCTGGTCTTTAGTTACAGGTTTTACTGTAGTACCAGGCTGGTTGCTAGTCACGCTGGTCTTTAGTTACAGGTTTTACTGTAGTACCAGGCTGGTTGCTAGTCACGCTGGTCTTTAGTTACAGGTTTTACTGTAGTACCAGGCTGGTTGCTAGTCACGCTGGTCTTTAGTTACAGGTTTTACTGTAGTACCAGGCTGGTTGCTAGTCACGCTGGTCTTTAGTTACAGGTTTTACTGTAGTACCAGGCTGGTTGCTAGTCACGCTGGTCTTAAGTTACAGGTTTTACTGTAGTACCAGGCTGGTTGCTAGTCACGCTGGTCTTTAGTTACAGGTTTTACTGTAGTACCAGGCTGGTTGCTAGTCACGCTGGTCTTTAGTTACAGGTTTTACTGTAGTACCAGGCTGGTTGTTAGTCACGCTGGTCTTTAGTTACAGGTTTTACTGTAGTACCAGGCTGGTTGCTAGTCACGCTGGTCTTTAGTTACAGGTTTTACTGTAGTACCAGGCTGGTTGCTAGTCACGCTGGTCTTTAGTTACAGGTTTTACTGTAGTACCAGGCTGGTTGCTAGTCACGCTGGTCTTTAGTTACAGGTTTTACTGTAGTACCAGGCTGGTTGCTAGTCACGCTGGTCTTTAGTTACAGGTTTTACTGTAGTACCAGGCTGGTTGCTAGTCACGCTGGTCTTTAGTTACAGGTTTTACTGTATGGAAGTTTGATAACAGTCATCACCGACACAGTTACAGACAAGCCAACACAGCCACGGAACTGCTATACAGCTGTACATAGCAAAAAAAACACATCCGAGCGGCCATGTTTGGGTGACAAGAAGCAGCTAGCAACCATGAATGTACTGTAGTCTACACTACAAGTACCATGACAATACATTGTGTTGTCATAGCGATCAATTCAGCAACCATTCTATGAAGCACTGATTTTTTTTTCTTTTTTCTACAAAGTCCACATTATCTCCAGACACTGGGGTGAATAATGGAGGGTGGTGGTGGTGGGGCCCATAAAGCTCAGCCGACCAGAGATCTCGGCTTCATTGCTCCATGGATGCACCTGTGTGGCACAATAAATGCTCACTCTATGTGTGCAAAGGTTCAAAGCTGATATACATACTTGTTCAAATATACCTTGTATTGTAGAAACACGTTTTCAGTTTGACAGCATATTACAAGGAGGTGGAACACCGTGTTTGGAAACAGTGTGCCTCACTAAAACCATCCACGGTTGGTAGAGCCCCGGTCTTGCAACCATTTGAACCGTATGGGTGCTAGACCCGGTCCTGACCCTCGTTATACTATGGGAGTTACGAGGGGGAGTTGTTCAAATCTTCTTGTTGTACAATCATGTTTGTTCTGAATTGATGTTCTTCCTTCTCTTTTTTACTCTTTTCTTCCAACTTCTGCCCATGGCATCCCTCTCTCAGCTCGTCAGCTGACGACAGTTACTGTCACCACCATGACACTGTCGTTAGAAGGTGCTCTCTGTAAACGAGGTTGGTGATGTTCCGACTCGGCCGTGGGTCATGGGCCGTGGCCGAATCGGAACATCACCAACCTCGTCTACAGAGAGCACGAGCTGAGAGAGAGAGATGTCATGGGCAGAAGTTGGAATAAAAGAGTAAAAAAGAAAAGGAAGAACATCAATTCAGAGCAAACACGATTGTACAACAAGAAGATTTGAACAACTGCCCCTCGTAACTCCCATAGTATAACGAGGGTCAGGACCGGGTCTAGCACCCATACGGTTCAAATGGCTGCAATACCGGAGCTCTACTAACCGTGGTTGGTTGTGGTATGGGACAATGTTTCCCAACATGGTGTTCCACCTCCTTGTAATATGCTGTCAAACTAAATACTTGTTCAAGTATCAACGAGTGTGTTGACGGCTACAGATCATACACCTCGGCGAGGATCGACACTCCTGAATCGCTGTGGTGTTGGCTCGAAGAGCACTCGATTATTCCAACAAACTACAATACATGCAAAGAAAAACTCTCAGGAAACAAAAAGGCAGCGCAGCCAAACAAAGGTACAGCTAAAACCTCATGCCGCACGCACAAGAACACAACAACCAAAAAAGGCTACACGGTGCCAAGGCTGGCTCAGCGAAACCGACCGCAGCGGAACCTAAAAGGTAGCCCGCTGTACAACTGCGATATTACATCAGGCATCAAGGTGCCCCCAAGGGGAGCACATGAAGACAGTAAGATGCCAGGAGATAAAGGTCAAATCACAGAGAACCGACAGCATGACCGCAATGGCAATCAGGAAGAGAAAGCAAATCGCAACTGAACATGACATGAACGTGTAGACTAACTCCGTGGCATTCTCGCCACGCCATTCTCCCCTTCCTGATGTGTCTACGGAGAGATACATCACCAACACTCGAAGCGGAAAAATGAAAGAAAAACAGAAAAGATTGCCTGAGTTGCTAGTGCTCAAGCAAACAGAAACAAAAAAAAAGAGAGAAGCAAGAGAGAAGCAAGAGAGTGAAAAGACATGACCATACGTCAATGGCGATGGTCCAATGCTGTTGCCACTCAGTAACTCACTGACATGCTTCCAGCGGGCAGATCTTGCTTATTGGGCGACGTAGCGTGGTGTTCTTCACCTTTACGTCCACGACTCGTACCAGCCCGTCACGTCCTGGGTGAACATCGACAACTCGTCCCAGCTGCCACTGACCACGTGGTGTGTCTTTGGCGAGTAGGATAACGACATCACCGACTTGCACGTTGTTGTAGGGTTTCTTCCATTTGGCACGACCACTCAGCATGGGCAGCCATTCTTGCATCCATCTTGCCCAGAAATGTCTGACCAGCTCCTGGACTCGTCTCCAGCGTCTCCTCAGGCTAGCTGCTGGGTCATCACCGGGTACATCAATACTGTGGCTCGCGTCGCCTAGCAGCAAGTCACTTGGAGAGATAGGAGTACAGTCTCTGGCATCTGAAGATACCGTTGTCAAGGGCCGACTGTTGATCAGGTGTTCTGCTCCAATCGTTGCCGTCACTAACTCCTCATCTGTGATGTCACCTGACTTCAGAATGGCGTACAGTGCTCGTTTGGCAGCCTTCACCATGACCTCAAATGGTCCTCCGAAGTGCGGTGCTGCGGGTGGGTTGAAGTGCCACTGAATCCGTTGACCGTTGGTTGCCTTGATGATCTTCTTCTCGTCCAGTTCTCTTCTCAACTCGCGTAGCTCGGTTACTGCACCAACAAAGTTCGTGCCATTGTCAGTGAGCACCTCGTGTGGGGCGCCACGTCGTCCGACCATTCGGAAGAAGCAGTTCAGAAAGCTTCCAGTATCAAGACCATACGCTACTTCGATGTGGATAGCGCGTGTGGCAAGACAGGTGAAGATGCACAGCCATCTCTTTGCCTGCGCTCGGCGTCCCTGCTTGGTGTACATTGGTCCTGCAAAGTCGATTCCAACCCTTTCAAACGCACGGGTGCCGGGTTCAATCCGGAGTGTTGGCAGTGGCGCCATGAGCTGCTTAGCAGGCTTGGCCTTTCGGCGTTGGCATTCAGGACATTGACGATCCACTTCCTTGACTGCTTCGCGTGCACCGACAACCCAGAACCGCTTTACTAACTCGTTCAGAACTTGATTGTTGCCGAGTGCGTGATGACCGTTGCCATGGATCCGCGTGATCACAAGCTTAGTCGTTGGATGCGTCCTGGGAAGGATGATCGGTGAGATCGTGTCAGAGGGCAAGAAGTCCGCGTACTGAAGTCGACTCCTTGCACGCAGCAAACCACTGTCATCTAACTGTGGATGGAGTGCTGCAATCTTGCTCTGGGAACTCACAGGTTGTCCCTTCTTGATGGCCTTGATCTCATCTCGGAACTCAGACTATTGCGCTGATTTCACCAGTATCAACTCAGACTCACTCAATTCGTCCACTGTCAATTCACCCAGTTCGCGGCGTTCATGTGGCGCTCGAGCGTTGTGAAGAAATCTCATCACCCACGCCTGCACACGAATCAAGCGCTCCAAATCAGAGTATCGCTGCGGTTCCAGTCGCCAAACACTGGGCTCCGTTGCGCCTGTGCCCTCATCATCAGTACCCGTCTCAGTGCTGCTCATCAGAACGGTCTCCTTCATGGACTTTGTTTCCTTTGCTTGGGCTGTAGGTAACTGTCGTACTGGCCAGTCATCAGACGGCTTGGCCATGAAGCTAGGACCGGTCCACCACATACTGTCCGGCGTGAGCGATGTTGGGGCGCATCCTCTCGACACAATATCAGCCGGGTTCTCTGCCGTAGGGACATACCGCCATTGATCTGGGCT